CCAGTCGAGCAGGGACGACGCGCCCTTCGAGCCCTTCAAGGACCTCTGCAAGCGACGCTTCCTGTGGTACTACCAATCGTATCTAGCTCGCGTGGACGAGGCAGTGAAGAAGAACAAGGATGGGGACCGCTTTGAGAAGATGCCGTTCGAGGGCCCGGGCAACGCCATGGAGGGCACATTCCAGTACACACAGCTCCGCGAGCGCCTGGTCAAGATCTTCGAGACGCTCAACAAGGAAATGGAGGCATGGGCCGCCGAGGGCATGATGGCTGTTAGCAAAGAGATGAGTATTGCCAACAACCTCCAGCGCCAGTATGAGCAAATCATCGAGAAGTACAAGAAGCAAGACGCCGTTACTCTGGATCTTGATCTTGTCGATAAGAACCCATTCGTATGGCAACTTGTCCTGTTCGGGAGACCTATGACGAACCTCGACGGCGGCATGTTCCGGATTATGCTATACATTAGCCCCAAATTCCCAGAGGTTTTACCGCGTGTTAGATTTGAGGGTAACGTAGCCATCACGCGTGCTTTTTGAGATTTCTCCGCTAACTGATGTCTAGTATGTATCCGCCCGGTTCTTATATGGAGATGCTGTTGTCGAATTATCTCGTAACGTATTCCTCAAGACAAGCTGACAATTTGATAGACACCGGTTCTCTACCATCACCGTGTATCGCCCGATGGCATACTCTGCTACGATGCTGCCCGTAAGGACGACATGCGCTCACATATTGAGGCCATCATTGCGGCTATCGAGGAGGAGTCACCTGCATACGACCCACGCACACTGGTCAATCCCGAGGCTGCGAAGCTGTTCTGGGGTACTCCCGACGAAAAGAAGCTCTATAACCGTAAATTGAGGCGATCCGCACAGGATAGCGCTGAGTGAGTGTTATTCGTTGACGCTGCAACGGCATCTGCTAATATTCGTCTAGGAACTGCTTTTAGAGATTGCAAACTAATGATCCCACGGCCGGTCTTCCTCTCGATATGACATTACATGATACCCCAAGCCCGACCTTGCGAGGTGGCTTGCATTATACGGCGTTCGTTCATCAGGGCTATGGGAACTGCATCGGTATAACGGCGTTAGTCATGAAATGCGAATGATATTTTGTTTCATTGAAGTGATTTCATATGACCTGGACGTCTACATCGCTCTTGAAAATCGTGATAATTGTGCAGGGAACGGCGCTTCTGCACGCGCGAGTATGGCCGTTGAGACCCTGACATGCGGGAACCTTGAAGCTAACCAAGCCCCCGGAAAGTGTTCCCCCGAGCGCTCTCCGCAAAACAATCCCTGATCGTCGCACCACCAATTGCACTGACACCCCATCCTCCACCATGCCGAACAACTCAGATACTATACAATCGCTCGGAAAGGTCCTCGTTGTTGGAGGCTGCGGCTTTCTGGGAAGCCACATCGTCAGCTTGATCGTCAAGCGTCACCCCCAGACACAAATCGCCGTGCTCGATCTACGAACCAACTCGAATCGCAACACCAGCCCGAACGTCTCCTACCACGATGGCGATATCACGGATGCTCCTGCCATGAAGGCTCTGTTCTCGCAGATCAAGCCTGACGCCGTCATCCACACAGCATCACCACACTTCGATCTGAAGCCCGAGATTCACGACAAGGTCAATGTTGGGGGTACCAAGGTCCTGCTACAGGCCGCGCAAGAGTCTGGAGTGAAGGGCTTCGTGTACACAAGCTCAGCAAGTGTCATCCTCGACCACGTAAACGATCTCGTCAACGCGGACGAGCGATGGCCGCTTGTTACTGGCGACGACCAGCCTGAGTACTACACAACCACAAAGGTAAGCATACAATCGCATTGTTATTTCTGAGGAGCTAACGATATACTAGGCATACGCCGAGACGGCTGTCCTCCAAGCGAACCGCCATCCTGAGAACTCCCCAAACTTCCTGACCTGCGCCATCCGTCCCGCTGGTATCTTCGGCGAAGGCGACGTACAACTGCTCCCTAAGATGGTTGGCGCATACCGCAAAGGACAGACCAAGTTCCAAGTCGGCGAGAACACAAACCTCTTCGACTTCACCTACGTCGAGAACGTCGCATACGGCCACGTGCTCGCCGCAATCGCGCTTCTCCATACGCACAAACGCCTACCCTCAATTCCTCTCGACAACGAGCGCGTTGACGGCGAAGCCTTCCTCATCACTAACGGACAACCCGTATACTTCTGGGACTTTGCGCGTGCGGTATGGCACGAGGCAGGCGACCGAACACCCTTGAGCAGCGTGTGGCATCTTAGCACCGAGTTCATGTGGGCCATCGGCACGATCCTAGAGAACGTCTTTTGGCTCATGGGAAAGAAGCCTAACCTGACTAGGGCTCAGGTTAAGTACAGCAGCATGTCCAAGTACCACAGCATTAACAAGGCGAGACTGCGGTTAGGGTATGAACCTCTTGTTACTCTGGATGAGGGCATCAAGAGGGGTGTACAATATATCCTGGAACAGGAGAAGAAGGCTGGTGAGAAGAAGGGTCAGTAGACTCATACAAACATATGAGCAGAGGTTATCGAAGACGATTTATTCCCATACTGCAGGTATATAGTGTTTGTAGATAATGTAATTACATGCCCTCGACATATCAGTGCACATGTTGAAGTAGTGAATCAAGCGCCTCGCTACGATGTTCGTATTTATCAACCTAGAGAGTACATGCATGAACACTGTCGTGGCCAGATGTAGCTAGAATCCCCAAGGCGGGACCCACTCCCGATTAAGTCAACTTCGTCGCGCGCGTAGCTCAGCGACCTCCCCAACCCCACGTTCACCCCACCCGTCACCATGGCGCGCAATCACGAAGTATGTCGCGCCCGCTACTTCCCGAGTCAGCATACGAAGCTCTCGGCCTCTCTCCTGAAACGATCAAAGACCTGATGAATCCCAAGCCTGCGCCCGAACCTACCGAAATCCACGCGCCGAACCTCCTGCAGAGTGACGAAGACAATGCGCGCCCCATGTCGCCCAACGAAACTTCCATAACGCTGTACGCCGAACTTCTGCTGCATATACGTACGGTTACGCTTTTTGCATCGCTGCGCACGAATTTCTCTCGGTCGACGGACGCGAAGCTGTCGTCTGATGGCTCTTACATCACTGTCTCTCATGAGGGCCAATCTGCATCAATACGCCTTCCTATCAACGTCAAAGGCGGAGGCGACGCTGCGCTTGAACTACCGTCACAGCCTCCAACGAAAGAGTTGACACTCCGTCTTCAGCTGGAAGAAAAGGAAGGAAGCGACCTTCTTGGGACACTGCAACGCGAAGATCGACAGGCCAACATTGTACCGTGGGACGGCGCTTCGCTCAACGATGCAAAGGACGTGGAGATAGCATGCAAGGGCTGCGACAGTGTCCTTGTGGCGAAAGGAAAGATTCCACAGTGGAGAGACCTGCCTAATGAGAATTGGGCTGAGATGATGGACTTTTGGCATTGCCATAAGCCGGACGAGCATCACTTGCACGATCACACACACGATGATGTTGTCGGTCAGAAAGGTTATGCGGCTGGTAATCGCCTGCAGGCTATGGGAGGTGTTGGGTTTGTTGATCTGGCCAGCTTTCTACTGGCAGAGTCGGATTGCGAAGGCGCACAGGTAAGCTACAACCTTCTTTCAACCGTGTCGTGCGGTTCCTACATCGTCACTTCATGAGGTTGCAACATGTATGGGCGCAAAGAAGGCGAACTCGCCTCATCAGTGGCATTCATCGTCGATACAAGCGCCCTAAATTGATAGGCTCATACACGTACTCTTGGTTCCGGTGTACCCTCTTCCCCAGGTTGATGGGTTGCCGGCGCCGTCGAGTCAGCGGCCTGGCGTTTCACTGTCTCTATACCCTCAGACCCTTGGGATTGGCAGGTTTAGCCAAGGCTACATTTTACACACATCGGTGGCTATCGTTGTTCAGTCTCGTATATACTGACATGACGCAGATCTCCTCCCATGAAGGCACGGATCCAGGCCTGATTCAATGCAAGCATTGCAGTCACACGATCGGCGCCCAAGAACCCTCAACCGACGGCTGGCGAATACGAAAATGGGCCATCAGCATACGATCCGCGAAAATCACTCTATCGTCGCCAACCACGCATACGGTCCAGAAATGGATATCAGCCCGCCTCCTCCACCTCATAGAAAACACCGGCCTCCGCAAATTTCACATCCACACCGCCGCACCACCCGACCAATCTCAAGAAACCCCCATACCCTCTCTTCTCATTTGGGTCTTCACCCCCGATCTCCTCTTCTCCTCTTCCATACCCACGCCCGGCCGTCTCGATCCTACACGCACGATGAAGGTCTTCTACCAGAAACAGACGTGGCAGGCTTTGAAGCCGGGAGAGCCCGAGAGTGCTAGTATAGAGGATGTGGAGTTTCCCGTGGATTTGTATGAGGAGTTGGAGAAGGGGTTGGAAGGGAGTCAGAGGTTGTTGCCGCCGACGGCGAAGAAGTTTCAGGGGTGGGATGTTGGGCTGCTGGAGAGGTTTGAGGTGCTTGAGGCGGGCTTGGGTGAGGGAAGTGGAGAGGAGGAAGGTGAGGCTGGTGCGAATGGGGTTGAGAATGGGAATGGGGTAAGTGGTGAGATACCGGAGGAGGATGTTGATTGACGTGATCAAACGGTTTAATGCGTATACACATATCTATGCCTCATATAGAAGCTATACTGTAGCATTCATTCGTGTTCCATTTGCTGTATTATTTTTGTCATTTGTTCAAATGCGTCACACAAGACTGTCGGTCTCTGAGCGGGTGTATGGCATGACGATTGCTAGCCGGGTGAGAGCAAGCGCCAACCTCACCCGTAACGCTTTCCCATCCGCTCAATCACCGCTGACCTCGCAAAGATAAAACTGCCTTCATCTCCCACGAACTGTGCTTCTCTCTATCCTTCCCTCTCTCTCTTGCCGCAAGTCAGTCAAGATTCGCATCCACTTCAACCACATCATCCATCAACCAGTATGTCTATAGTCGCCAAGATTGCCGCGATGCAGCGACATCGTGCCGCCGCCTCCGAGACTCCGGATGATCTTCTGGATGTGAGAGTCACTTCTGAATCATCGACTACCTCAAGGATCGGCCAGTCTACCATGGACACTGGACTCCGAGGTCTATGCCAGTCCACGCAGTCTGTGGGTCTAGAAGATCATGTAGCCACCGAGGTCGCAGAAGAAGCCCCCGACATGCTACAACTCAGCATAGACCCAGAGAAGCTCGCCATGTACGCTCTCCTCCCATGACAAAGAGATTCCAGCACATGGAGACGACATACTGACTCACCACAGTGCTCGTGCCAACACCCAAGACTCACGTCTACTCCGTCTCCCAGCTGAGATCCGCAACACCATCTACGACTTGGTTCTCAGCTCTCACCGCGACTTCCACACCTTCGATGTCGCACGCCAGAAGAGTATGCGGCAGAATGGTGGAAGCGAAACTACTATACAACAGCTCGCTTTGTTGCAAGTCTGCCGCCAACTCTACACCGAAACCAATCTTATCGCCCTTAACTCCACACCTTTCGCCTTCAGCTCCGTCACCGACTTCTCCAAGTACCTCGCTCAGACACTGCTTCCTCGACAAATCAGCGCTATAGCCGTGCTCAAGTGCCCGTTCCGCGAGATCTACTTCCCTGGCTTCGGCGTAAACTCCGCGTTCATCGGGCTCCTTCGTGAGAGTCTGCGTGGGCTGAAGGTGCTGGTACTGTTTGGGGTGAGGAGTAAGGCCGTCGAGGAGGAGGCGATGCGGGTCATAGAGAGGAAGATCGCGAGGGAGATTAAAGAAGGGTGTGGAGAGCTGGAGGTGAAGGTTGAGTTGACGAGGAATGGTTTGCAGTGGCGCAAGGAGGTCGCATCGGTCTATGGCCGTGGAGAGCGGAGTTTGGGCGCAGAGTGATGAGTGTCTTCGTCCCTTCATGACACTTTACTGCGAACAAGTCAAAAGCTGTGTACGATTAGACATGGGTTAGTATTGCGTGCATTCAATCACCACTCAACATCTGCAAACACAAGATCTTCCTTTCCACCAGTTTTATTTATCTATCTATCCTACACTATCTGATGATCTCTACCGCAGCCTTAAGACTCCGCAAATGGGCAGTCCGCAAAGAAGGAGAAGGGGGGAGATCAAAATCAGTCGCCAGATAAAAGAAGAAGGGGGGAAATGAAAACCCGCTCAAACAAACAAAGATCCTTTGTTTTTTTGTGGAGTTTCTGTTCTGTTCGAGGCGCTATCCCGCACCCAGTGCGGTAAAAGGGAGAGTGAAGAGCAAGGCCGTAAATGCATGCGTGCCCGATTATATCTTCTCAATTCCTCCTCTTGTCATAACAGTCGTGAATCGCTGTTCAAAGAAACACCCAGTGTCCAGACGCCGGCTCAATGGAAAATTACTCCTTCTGTGTAAGTACAGGATGTGAAAGACGGCTATACAAGTGCCCGCTAATCGTATACAATGCAGTGCGGGAATTACTGCTGGTTCCCGAAGCCCATAAAGTTCAAATCATCCAACGTAGTGGTGGGCTCAATGTATTGGGGGTCGAACTGGCCTCCAACCTGGTTGAAATCGGGAAAGAAGTTGGCCGTGTGGTTGAACGTCATCTGGCTGGGTGGCGCAGTGTCGAACAACGTGAAGTCCTGGCCGGGGCGACTGAAGCCTTGCATGGTCATGTCCATGTCACCGCCAAAGCCCTCATCCATGTCTGGTGAGTAGAGGGTGATGTCAGGCTGAGCCATAGGTGATAGATGTGGCAGACCGTTCATGTTGTTGTTCGTCGCAAATGGCAACGGCGCAAAGTCAAACGCCGTGCTCATTGGGGTTGGCTGCTGGTAGCCAGTGTTGAAGTTTGCGTTCAGTGCACAGGCGTTGTAGATGTCGTTGTGGTTAATGTGGGTGTCTTCTGGCGTCACAGCATCGTCGAAGGATGTGGGCTCAACGGGCGAATGTCCTGACGAGTATGTGAAGTGAGAGCCATCGGTGGTGATCGAGTCACGACGGAAGTCATCTTGGTAACCGTGGGCACTCATAGCCGGCGTTCCGAAGCCATAGCAGTTAAAGTTCTCGATCATGGGCACTTGAGGCGAAGCAGCGAATGGTGTGATAGGTGTAGTCATGGTCGCCGACATGGGTGTACCGATGAAGGGAGTGAGAGGGGTAGCGGGGCTGTGCTCGCTGCCAGAAGCGCCCTTCTTGCGACCGTTGCTCTTGGAGCGAACATATTCCCAGCCATGAGCCTTCTCCATGTGCTGCTTGCAGTTGGACTCGCGCTTCGAAGCGTACGTGCATGGGTGGTAGAGACACTTGTACTGAGCAGGAGCAGCAGAGTGCTTGTCGTTCATGTGCCTATCACGCTCCTTCTCAGTCGGCCAGCCGAGTTCGAAGTACTTGCAGTTCTTCTCGTCGCACTTCCATGGGCGAGAGTGAGTCTTCTCGTGCTTGGTCAGGTCGCATGGTCGCTTGAACTCCTTCTTGCAGTCACGGCAAGTGTGCATCACGTCTCCGGGTTTCTCGGACTTCCGTCGTCGCGCCATGGATCGGGTTACTTCGTCCTCGTCCATGCTGTCCTCGTCGGCGTCCGACAGACGACGCTTGATCCTGAAGGCGTTCGAGGCATCCACTGACATGGGGATGACGTTACCGTTCTTCTCCCGGACGAGCTCGACAGGACGGCCGTTGTGGCTGATGCCACCGCGGAGGGTGATCTTCTCATCGCTATGGAGTTTTTGATTAGCGCGGGCGAATAAAAAGTCGGCGGCGCGGTCATACCGTGAGTAATCCATCTCGTCCAGATCCTCACCCTTGGTTTCTTTTTCTCTTGTAGCAGCCATGATTGAAGCGTATCGTCTAATCTGTTCCATCAAATCGAGGAAGTAGCCGTCAGTATAAGGGCGGTCGGTTGGTAGTCGCTGGTCTTGTTCGGAGATGTACTGGACGGTCGTAGCCAAGAGTTGGATTGATCGTTGGCAAAAGCGGAAGTACGAGTCCGGGGAAGCCGACAGCTCCTTTAAACCACGAAAAATGCAATAAGCTTCTACACTTTGAGAAAGACAATGGGTGATTCCACTTACGGGTGCGAGGAAGACGAGGGTCTTCTCGAGGTCACGGAGATTGCGGATATTCTTCTGACCTATGCGTCGAGGCACGTCCTTGACGAGGGAGTGGAAGTCCTTGAGAGACTCCTCGGCGAGAATGGGCTTGATGATGTAGTCGTGGATCTGCTTGCACGTGTGCTCGCCGAGCACGTCCTCTTCTGAAAAGGTGAGCGATGAGAAGGACCTGGTGACAGCCGAATGCGTCGAGCTGATAGAAGTGCTGATGGAGTCACGGACGCTCGAGCGCTGGGAGCGAATCTCGTCTTTATATATGTTAGTATGTGGGGCGTTCTCATCCAAGACGGGTGGCTGCAGTGACTCCTTACCGTATTTCGATCCACTGATGCTGGAACCCAGACCGCTGTCAGAAGCGTGGTCGTGGGGGCTGCGTGCAACTGCAGTAGGCTTTGGGTCAATGTCCATTGGGGTGTGGTCCAATGGGGCGCTGTCGAGGATAAAGCTCGGGACAGGAAGAACCTCCGGATCGTTGAGAAGGTCGCAGCTGGTAACAGTGCTCTTATGGCCAGCGACCTTCGCTTCGAAGTCTTTGAGCAGGTTGGTGACGCGACGCACGTTAGGGTCCTGGATGGAGTCGTTGACTAGCTCTTCCAGCCGGTCAGTGTTGGTAGGCGAGCGGCGGGGCATGCAGAATCGGTCCAACTCGCAGATGTCGGACGAGATATTGGTTGGCGACGAGAAAGTGCCGCTCTTCCTTAGCTGCATGCCATGGGTGCTCAGAGGGGATGCGGAACCCTTAAGAGGACGGCGGCGGGGATGACGGTTCTGGTCGTGGGGTGCAGACATGTTGAGTATGACTGGTCGTCGTACCGGTTGAAGTGGGAAAGGCGGCCTCAGGTGAGTCACGGACTGCACAGTTCCCCAAGCCCGGCGATCCAAAGGGACCAAGTGTGAGTGGTTATCAGAGCCCAGATCACGTTTTCATTGACCGGGGATAGTGGAACCTTTGCGGCCGCGGAAGCTAGCAGCTGATAGGCTAGGGTGATGATGGTGATGCAGCGAGCGAGGAAAGGGCGCTGAGTCCTTTGGTCTGGTGTCGGAGGAGACGTGCAGGTATATAGGAAGGCGCAGCACGTGGAGTAAGACGGGCGGCGAGCGGCAAAAGAGGCACAAGGGCGGCGGGTCTGCGGTGCAAAAAGAGGACGGGGAGGGAGGCCTGAGGGATTAGGATTTGAAGCAAGAAGAGATCTCGAGCAGCGCGGGCTGGGGGGATAGGTGGTTCAAGAGGGAAGGAACGGGTTGTCGTCGCTTCCTCCAGTAAGTGGAGTTCAACTCCAGGCAGCAGTGCACGGACATCTGACGTTCCGCGCAGTCAGCCCCTGCTCGGATCCTGAATACGAGCTGCATACCATTATTCGCCCATTTGCACAATAGCAGCCATCCGTCTTCTGCGTATCTCTGCCGTGTCTGTTGATGCGGGAGGTGATTGCGAGAGTTATTTCATCCCTCACCACAATCCTACTGTGGTAAAAGACACGGAACGACGAGAATTGTGCTCCATCCAGCGGTGACAAGACCCTGGCCAGAAACCGGTCAACCCAAGAAGCGCAGGAACGGCTGCTAGTGCACGCGTATCATTGGTGAATGGCGTCAGGCGCCCTATGGGTGGAGGCTTTGAAGGGCGGCAGGGCTGTGCATGGATGAAGCGACTTCGCCATCCTCACCACTTCTGGTGGATCAGCTGCTAAACACAACTAACACGTCGCTACTGATAAACCCGCCGTCCCCGCTCCCTGGATTTGCACATTTGCGCACGCCGTCCTACCCGCTTTTTCCGTCGCTGCGCAATTGCACCGTGTCCTGATGTTCTGGATGTCGGCCCATACGTATGCCGCATCCTTCGATTGGGCGAGTCGCGCAGGACGCCTTTTCACCGGAATCGTGGGGGCCAAAAACACGTCGTCAACCTGCATGTGATTTATAGGGCTGCGCATGCAGGGCGGAGAGATATTGATATTGAGGGAGTCACACATATAAGACCCATGGCGGGGTACTCCGGGACTAAGTATAGGCTTGTTGGTTGTCTCACACTCTCTACGCAGGTCGCCACCCCAGACGTTGGATGCACCCTCTCTCTCACGACTCGCTGCGGACAAAAGCCGGATATTTAAGCGCGGACATATCTCTCACCGATTACGTCGTAATGACTAGCATTCAAGATGTCTGTTCCTATCGCAAGCTACTCCGTCCATCTCAGCCTTCACTGCACTTCCTTCCTTTTGCAAAAGCATGCACCGATGACTCGTCAGATCGCTCTACACTCATACTCCGATCTCATGGGCCGCCGGCTTCAAGTTTTCATCCTTCTTTCTTCCAAACTACGACACTGTCGCAACTTCACTGCTACGACAGACATCTCCAGAGTCTCCAACGCGATTCTATACCTAGTACAGCACACTACCAAATATCACGTGTCGTAAATTGCTGTCACGCCCCTCTAGCCAAATTTATGCAGCATCCTGGTCGCCGGCATCACGTACCAGTAATAAAAGCTGTTCGCTATCATGATCATTTATGCTAATTCCTCAGCCACCTCCAAGGGAAAGTTTGAACACCTGTCTAGCTACAGAGAATGGTAGAAGTGAAGAAGCTAGAACTTGAAATTACGTGAAGATTTTGATATCTTTCGTTGCTATACTAATGTAGACAGCAGGCGGCATCGCATCCACTCAGTTCCTTGCATGTATAAGGTGTTCACGACACGATTCTAGTAGGTCGGTACGGTAATCCAGATGCCAACCCCACTGGCGCGCAGAGATTTGCCTAACCAGTATCTCCAAATCCAACAA